CACAATATATATATATATATACTGTTTTACGGAGGCGTACGTCCACGCCAGTGGTCAAGTTAGCCCGACACGTGACCTTTACTTTCAGGACCTTGCACACCGCCCCCCCAGCACACTGGCCGAAGGTTCCACTGCGCCCACAGCCCGCGGGGCCGCTCGGGACCCACAAACGCGGGCCCGAATCACGGAGGGACAGGCCAGCACCGATACACGGTGCACCTCCGAACAGGACGGGCAGCCAAGGGACCTCCCGAGGTCCCGAGGCACCCATCCCGTGGGAGGCCGACCACAGGTCCCACACAGACACCCTCGGCCACGCGCTGGAACGTGCGGCACCAGAAAGGCACACCCTGAAGGTCACCAGCTAACTCCTTTGGGCTTAGGGCACCAACCTGGAGTAGCTGGGGGCATCTATACAGAACAGTCTCCGCGTTCAGGGGCCGCGACGCGGCCCTGGACTACAGGGAGGTAGCGGGTGGGAGCCTTGGAAAGAGGCTACGGAAGGAGACGGCGTTCAACGATGCCCCCAAACAGTATTGCCTTACACAAGCGTAAACGGTCATACTGTTTTACGGAGGCGTACGTCCACGCCAGTGGTCAAGTTAGCCCGACACGTGACCTTTACTTTCAGGACCTTGCACACCGCCCCCCCAGCACACTGGCCGAAGGTTCCACTGCGCCCACAGCCCGCGGGGCCGCTCGGGACCCACAAACGCGGGCCCGAATCACGGAGGGACAGGCCAGCACCGATACACGGTGCACCTCCGAACAGGACGGGCAGCCAAGGGACCTCCCGAGGTCCCGAAGCACCCATCCCGTGGGAGGCCGACCACAAGTCCCACACAGACACCCTCGGCCACGCGCTGGAACGTGCGGCACCAGAAAGGCACACCCTGAAGGTCACCAGCTAACTCCCCACGTCTCCAACCTTGGCGCCCACGCCGTCTAAAGAAACTATTCTAAAAACTCTACAACCGTGAGGCTAACTTCCAGTCACCGCCTAGACTTAGGCAAGGAAAGTCAGCGAAGCTGAGAGATATGTACACACACTCATGCAATGGGCACAAAGAGGGACGGCTGGATAGGGAATAGAAGTTGCACATTCAACGCTCACAATCTGACAAATTCACGGAGAATCTGGAGGCCGCACTGAACACTCGAACATTGTTCATCCTGCGGCCTGACCTTCACTAGGTCAGCAACTGCATCTTCAATATAAATTCTCGCAGTCAAAGTGCTGGCCCAGCGGCCTTTGACGAGTGTCTGCTCCATTGAGCCGGAGCGGCAGAAAAAGTCACTTGCTCCGCCTCGCCGGCAACTGTGCCAGCTGAAGAGACCTCGAAAAACCGAGCGCTTCGGCCAAGCGCTGCAAGCCTGCCCTGAGCTGGTTCGGCGACCTCGGCGAGAGCCTGTCTGAAGGCGCGAGATGGGCCACAACCAAGCGCAGCAGCCGCACACAGGCCCTAGACCGTACTACCACGGCCTCAGCTGCATCCTTGCCCGCCGTGGTCTTACTGCTGCCAATGCGGATGACCATACACGATGCACGATCATGAACGTCGCCTGCAGTGAGGCTGAAAGCTTCCCCCCCTCGCAGCATCGCTTCAAAGCTGACGAGGAGAAGGCAGGCGAAATCAAAGGCGCCTGCTGCGATGGCGTAGCCCGCCATGCCGCCGACCAGCTCTGCGGTCAGCGGGAGGACGCGCGCCGCAGGCTCTTGGCGGCGCCACGTCCGCAGGAGTGACCAGGACAAGTCGAGCTTCCTGCGCAAAGACGGGCAGAAAAAGGCCACGCCCGCGATGGTGTTGCTCGCAGCTGCAATGCCAGCGCCCTCAGCCCAGAGCCTCTCAAGGAAGCTAGCGACCAAGCCGTCCGCATCGTCCATGGCCAGTGCGAGCGCAGTCGTGCCACTCCCCTCAGCGCCGTAGTACTGCAAGAGCCTGCGGACCGCAACGGCATACCGCCTGCGGGTCGCCACCCCAACGCGGAGCGACGAGAGGGTGTGGGCTCGCGGGTCACGCCGCCTCACGGGCGGCCTGCACGGGCGGCCTTGCGCACCAAGGGCGCGCGACTGCCGCGCCCCCTGAGCCGCGAGCCACGCCACAGCTTTCTCGATGGCTCGTCGGCCGGATTGTTCTCCGACACGATGTAGCCGATCAGCGGGTGCATGTCGGCCGCGACCGCGACCGCTGCCCAGCGCCGGAGCATGGGCTGCAAGCGAGCGCTGCTGCTCCGGCCCTTCGTGATGATGGCCGCGACGACCTGGCTGTCCACGAGGTGGAGCCAGCGGCTGCAGTGGCGGCGAGCGGCGCGAGCCCGCCACCGAAGCGCCGCGAGCGCGGCCTGCAGCTCCCTGACGTTGATGTGCGCCTGCCGCCTCTTGGGCCAAGCTATACTCAGCACGACTCGCCACTTCCACACGAACGGGTCCAGCGACGATCTGGGCCACCCCTTCGGTCGGTACGGCAGGTTCACGTCGAGACGCACATCGCTCCCGCCC